CGCTCTTCTTGCTTTTGTTCTTCCCGCTTTCTCTGCTCTTCCTCCAGTTGTTTCTTCTTCTGTTTTTCTTCTACCTGAGCCATTATTGCTTTCTGAAAATATCAGAAAAAAAAAAGAAAGTTAAAAGACTTGACATTAAAGGCATTATAAGCTATTTATTAATACACTTCATATGAATGTAGAATAATTTGATTTGGAACTTGATTTTTTTTGGGGAGAGAACCACCAGCCCAATAAAGTGTTTTGAGATACCCAGAGACAAAGCAAAGTAGCTCTTTTTGTTTTCAAAAATTCTCTTATTTTTCTTGTAAGGAAATGGTCTGATTTTTATCTTATGTACTGTAAGCTGGCATTTTAATCAGAACAGGCTCATTACATTTACAATAAGACTTCTTCACACTCTGCTGGAAACATCATCATGCAGACATTCATTCCATTAAGAATGCCACAGAAGAAATGTAAATGACAGTAGATAAAAATTTAAAGATTCATGGAGTGGGTACTTGTAAATACCAGTCATCATGATGACAGTGGAGACTGAAGAAAAATACACATAAACCTATTAGAGCTCTAAAGACACCACTGTGTGTTTTTGAGGCAAGAATGCACTTATGGGAATGCAATTGTCTCTGCACAAATACTAAAACAAAACGGTAGAGTCTAACTGAGTGAAAGACCAATAAGCAACTGTAAACATGTAATATGAGGGATATAAGCCAAGCACCTCACTGGATTCTGGTATTAAATCTCGAGTTTTGTTCATGTAACAACACTACCTTTCATCTTTTCTTCTCATGATAATAGCATTGGTAAAACAGGATGTGTCTACCTGATGTTCTAACTGTTTCTGCCGCCGCCTGTTTCTCTCTTCGATCTGTGCAGGGTCCAGGAGAGCTGTCATTGAACGGAGGAAACTGTGAACAAAGACACATGTACACGTTTTTAATCATAAGAAAATAATCCTTAATCATTTCTTAATTAGAATCAGTCAGATTTAAACTAATATTTTAATGTTTGAATTACCCCATTTTATTATTTTGCAATTATGAAATACACGTTACTAAGGTCCAAAGCAAGATGATTTGCAGTGCATTTTATTAATGAACAAAGGAAGCACTTGTGTCTTTCTAAAGCAGAGCAACAGCTATTTCTGAAAAAAAGCAAAATGAGTAAGATCCAAAGCTCAGATTTCAAGAACCTTATTCCATTTTATTTTTTTATTTCTAAGGAGGCATCAGAGATGTACTGGCTGGGGAGATGTTTATCTTTACAAAGCTCACTCACCTCACTTTCTGACTCTGTTCCAAAGTACTGGCTTTAGCAGCTTTTTCTGGATTTCCCACCTTTGAGGGCATAAGGTTGCCTAAAGCTGCAGGTGAGAAAGGGTGAATAAAAGCAGTCAGCTCCTTAGGGTCAGGTGACAGGCAAAGACTTTCAGGCTGCTTTTTGTACATTCCATTTAAGGTGTGTTGTGCGTTAGCGTTAAGGTGGTTCTTTAAAGAATCAAAATGCATTGCCCATCTGTCATATTCTTCAGCCTAAATAAATACGAAGCAACAAAAAAACCAGAAATGCACTCAATTACTGTTCCTATGAAGTATGGTTAACAAAACAGGCAACACACATTGTAAAACAGGAGCATTGGAAACAGTCTGATAGGAGGCTACACTACAGTCATTAATCCCCTAAATGGGAAAACAGAAGTCTCTGTGTTGCTTAAAATGCAACTCAGATCAGAACTTAAACTGCTGATCCATATACTTAGTCAGCAAAACCACATTGATACTCTTATTTTCAGAAAAAAATTAAAAACTAGAAAGTGAAAAATAAAATGTTAACACGGAATCAGGCTTTATCATTTTAAAAAAAATTATATTACTATTCCATTCCATAATTTTTCTATTAGTTCCAGGAATGGCTTGATTGAGAGGTCAGTACACTGCCCACTCTGCCATACTCTCCTCCTGTTGTGTACATACTCTCTCTCTAGTAACATGAACAAGTGGCATGTTTTACACTGTCCTACATTTGCCCCTCAATTTTAATTCTGGATGGCAGCAGATCTAATGTGCTTTGGGCAAATATATTAATCTCTGACTTCCTATTTTCAGCTAGACAGGCCCATTATAAAATAAGCCTAATTGAAAAGTCTCTTCCACCCATAATATTATTTCCAGCCACTTCTGCCATCCTAGCAGAACACCTATCACTTCTGGAGAGGTGACACACTGGTTTGGCAATTGGGACACTCCAATTTATCACTACCTAAGGGGCCTTTGTTTTTGCTATAGGTACGGAGGTTTTCTCTTCTGACTATAACAACTATTTCTCTGGAAGGACTGGAGAATGGCTGCCTCAAAACTTGCATTCTGCTGGGGAAAAACCTAACAACCCAGTCTATTTAACTTTCTGGGCATGCTCTCCTTAAAACAAAATTTCCCTTGTGTCAGAAAGGTTTCACACCTAACTTAAAAGAAGAAGAAAAAAAAAGATCATAGCCCAAACTAGAAGAATTCAAATTCTTCCTCCTGTTCCCTGCATTTTGTTCCCTTTGAATACTCTGTGATGTAGAAGCAGACCAGAGTAGTTGGAAAATCTACTTTATTCTTATGCAAGTTTATGGTTGAGAGTATAACACAAGACCTGAAAAAAGAGATGTTGAAGAAAACGAGATGAAGTGCACATTAACGTCCTTTCAAAAAGAGGCTGGAGGTGAGATTACTGCTTGGTTACTCACTGGTGACTGCAGCCATCTTCCCACAGCACAGCTATCAAATTAAAAAACAAGGCAACTAATGAAGAAACTGCTCACAGCTGTGTTCCCTTCACAGTTATAAAGTTCAATTTGCAGAGGAAATTTCATTCCTTCAGCAACTAAGAAGACTTGTGTGCAGGTATGTAACCAACCGTGACAACAAGTGTCATGGGGGGGAGGGGGGAGGGTGTGAGCAGCAGGCAAAGCTCTTCTAATACTACAAACTGGAATTAAAATGAAGAATTTCTGTATAGGAATTGTGTAATTGCTGTAAATGCTTCACTTGAGAGTAAAAACTGTAGCCTCTGAATATAGAAGGCCACAGGCTATGAACATTCATATCAGCCAAGCTTTGATAACCAAGATTCTTGTTCATAAATAATGATGTGAATACATCTTATGCATGGTGAAAGATATAATCCTGGTGTTTAAAATTGTACAGTCAATTGGAAATCTGGATTCTAGCGATAGTAAAGTCTCACTGCATGTGACTTCACTTCAAAAGACAAGAGTTTGTCAGTATCAGGCTGTATAAGAATGCAGAGTATTCCACTGACCTTAGAACTACTAATATAGTAGAAATAGTAACATGGAAAGAAAAGAATTCAACTTCTATGTGAAGAACCCCCAGGGCTAAAAGATATATTGACCAAATTGACCAGAAGTGACAATATTAGAAGTCTCTTTAGGTATTCCACCTGCAAAGCAATTATATTGGCCACACTTGCCTTCTAGATCCAGCATAAAAGACCTACATTCAACAGCCTGTAAAAACCAAAGGATAAAGAAGGTAAGGCTATTTTCTTCCATACTTTCTGTACAAGCATTTTAAAAAGTTTAAGTGTGTGTGTGCATACATGTGTATCAAAATAATATTCCTAGAAAAAGCATTTGAACACTTCTGTGATACAATGCAGTTGTCTATACCTGTTCTCATCTTTTCTCATTTCCTTTTGTAGTCTATGGAAAAGACTTGTTATGAAGTGTCTGGTCAGTATCTTTACAGCACCTTCCAAACTCTACTGCCTTCACACAATTATGGGAAGAAACTGTATAGCAATACCACTATCTTAATCTCTGCAGCAGGTATGCTTAACACATCACACCAGGCACATTAGCCTGTTCTCTGCCACTAAAATACTGGAACAGCTACTGGCTGAATCTTTGTTTAGACTGTCCTGTGGGCTTACTGTGAAAACCTGGACATGCTGCAGGTTACTACATCATTATTGCTACCTCAGTACATCTACAATTTTATCTTTTATTTCTTAGAACAAAAATGGAAAGTAAAACTCCTCTTATTCCCAGAAATCTCTCTAAGCCACAGATACCTTTGATAATTCAAGTTTTTCCTCTATTTTTCGTCGCTTAGCTTCTTCCTTCTGTTTGTCCAGCTCTTCAAGCCACTTCTTCTGTTGCTCACGTTTCAAAGCACTAAAAGGTTGTTCCTGTGGCACAGCTTCCTGAAATCAGAGAAGTGCTAGTCACTTCCTTGTATAAAACAAGTCAGTACCTTGTCTAGCTAAAGACTTGACAGAAAACTGCCTTCAATTGTTAAGGGTAACTAGGCTGCTCTTCTGCATTAAAAAGAGGTTGTAACTGTAGCAAGTGCCCAACTGCTTCCTAAAGATGATTCAGTGGTTAAAAAGATGTTAAAAAAAACAGTACGTGAATACTACTGTTACTTGAATCACGAGCCTCTCACTCCAAATACCTTACTTATAGGTATCATTAATAAAAATCCCTTCCTTCCTCCTATGGTTCACTGCTCCATGTTCCAGGCAGATTCAGCACTGTGATCTGTCTCAAGTAAATTCTTGATACAATCTTCTGTTTCTGCTTCTTAATAGATACCTGTATTATTTAACTAACTCCACTGGCACTGAGAACTTGCAATGCAATCTAGCAAAAAACACTCTTCAATCAGTGCCTACCAGCAATAACTCAAAAACTACTCCTTGAACCTTCTGCCATTAATATGTTTATGCCTTCTATTTGTGATTTCTACTTCTCTATTTCTTTTAATGCATACCTAAAAGCTAAGCAGTATTTCATAACACATCTCTAGTACTGTTCCTTATATCAGCCTTAAAAATGTTTAGTCTTCAAAGCATCAATACTGTGGCAAGTATTTATTCAGATGCAATTCTGTAGGTAGAGCAAAAAGGCCTGTTGGCTTCTGCTGGCTTAAAAGATCCACTGAAGAGATACACCCGCTGTCAATAAATAATAAATACCACATGTAATTTAAAATCTTACCGTAAAACAAATGCAGTGTGATTGACAGCTGGTAAGTTGACTGAAATCAGGAGACTGCCCAGCTGTCATTTAATTATGTAGATTGCAACACATTCTTATGGGGCAGAGTGGTAACTTCTCTAGGAATACAGAATATGCTACCAAAAAAAGCATTTTACAACCCTAACTTCTGTTCAACAGCATTCAATTTCTCTGCAGAAGCAGTCTTGTCTCAGTATATTTATCTGACACAGCATTTTCAGAGTGACAGATGACTTTTTAAAAGGCAGGTTAGAATAAAAGTTGAATTGCTATGCTTATTACCTAAGCAATCAAATGTAGGTGAGAGCTAAAGAACAACTTTACCTCATTCTGGTCAGCCGTTTCTATTTTTGCTTGGTGGGCTTTATTACTGCCAGGTGTTGCCCAGAAACAACCCACCTCTCCCTCCAAAGTTTCTTTCAGCTTCTTTTTCAGTGTTACTTGTTCATCTTAAAAAAAACAAAACAAACTGTAGTAAGAGCTCCCAATACAGACATACAGCAGGTTATTTGGTTTGTTTTCTTTTTAAAGAAAGCAGCAATACATGTCTAGCCTGTAATTTTGATTGTAAAATGGACTACAAGAGTATGTCAGTATTGTCTATTTGATCAGTCTAAAAAATTACTTTGCTTGTAAGAGGATGGTGCCTTAGTCTATGCCCAGCGATATGGAGGTAGTTGGGGAATGTCTGAGGCAACTACAAAACGCTGAAGGCTTAATAATGTCCCAGGGGAAGAGGAAAAACTAACAGAAATAACCAAGTATTTAAATCTCTCAATTTTCATCATACCAGTTGTGGATTCATGTAATATTAAAACAAATGGAGCTATACAGGGAAGCTCATGACAATGCAGCATCAAATCCTGAAACCAGATGGCCTACACCCAAGGTGAAAACAAAACACAGCACTTCTGCATATATGAACCATAAAAAGCTTATTTTGTCAGAATTTACTACTGCATTCAACATTTTTATTTTTCTATAGAGAATCTTAGTTAGAGAATAGAGAATTCTTAGTTAGTGACGGGGTAGGACTGCAAACTGTTTTAAATTCAACTTGCCATTTTATATATTCAGTCATGCTTGTAGATTAGGGTGATGCTGTTTCCATTAAAAAACAAATGAATTGGTTAATGCTAATGGCTGTCAGCTACTGGAAGAATGTGACAAAACTGGTGGCAAGTAACTCCTAAAATATGAAGCATAACTGAATGTATTTGTTATATTTATTTCACTAAGTTATTTTTGCAAGAAGTTATAGATAATTTTTGCATAAAATTCTGAAATACAAGAATCTTAATCTGTGTTGGAGACTAATCAAACTATGTAGAAACTGATAGAAACTGAGCTGATAGAAATACATTTAAAGTTCATAAGGAACACAAAGTTTCTTGGCATCCTGAGTATGACAAAGTGACTGAAAATATATTTTGTATTTCGGAAGTACCTAATTCCTTCTTCCATTGGGTCTTTCGAAATTCTAATAATGCTTTCTGCTCTTCTCTTTCACCCAAGGTACTAAACATGTTGGCAGGTTTCCATGAATCCTTTCTAGAGAAAAGAAAGGGAGGGAAGAATTAATGAAAAATCTAATCCATTAATTTTAAAGGTAACTTTTAAATTAGCATTCATAAAGATTCTTATTGTCATTAAGAATTACAATATAAATCCTTATTGGAATACAATTTTTGTAGACAGAAACACACATCTACGTACATAACTTTCTGTCCTGGCTGCAGATTTGCTTCTTGTTTCCTGCTTGAATTGTAGTCAGCTTCATCTGGAACAGATGAAACTTCACAAGCTTTTTGGAGCAGCACTGTGTTTTCCTCTGATGTCTCATTAGCAACTGTAGTAGAATATATATATAAAAAATATATAAACAGATATATCTACAAGTCCACTAAACTCGTCTCAGTATTAAGTCCCTTAATAACAGCAGAAATTTGCCAATTTTCCCCTATTAACAAAACTGTTTTCAGCCCTGCTTGCATGGTCAAGGCATGTAAGGGTATTTTTAGAATGCTAGACTTACAGTAAACATGATTCTTGGCAAAGAGCTTGGACACTGGGTCTCAAATTACTTAATTGCAGTGTTCTGTTCTTGGTGATAAAGAGCTGACCACTTCCATAGGGCTACAAACAGGAGTAAGAATGTAACACAGGAAGATATATAATAGTTCTTATGCTTCCAAGTACAAAAACTGAAAAAATACTACTCAGCAGTAGTATTACAGTTAGGCAGAAAGACACATAAACATCTCTGGGTGAGAGGAAAATGGTGCCATACAGCTCTTGAAAAGCACAGCAAGACCTGAACCCATCATAAAACCAGAAAGGCCCACCTGTATTTTTTCAAACTTATAATTATACAGTGCAGTCCTACTATGTTTTTTCCCCAATGTGAAAATATGTCCTTTTTTGCTTGCTGTTTTGCTCTTTTAAGTACTGGAATACTGTTGATTTTTTTTTTTTTCTTAATATGTGCTTCCTAATAGCAACAAGCAATTTCACATCCATAATAGCAAACATCATTTTTCTGAGACCATTAACTCATAAGAGTAAGATCTCTGCAACCTGGAAATAAACTTAGATTATCAACTCAAAGTTAAGCTTTCACCCTTTGTTTCTATGAAACTACCTTATTCAACTGACAGTATCTTACCCATTTCTGCTTGCTTTTCATTATGAGTCTCTGAGATGCATCTAGTTTCTTCTTTTACAGTCATCAAAAGTTTTTGAAGCTGTTCTTGTGTTAAACCCAACAGACTTCTTAGGTCTTCAGCTGATACACATGTAATTTGGGGTTTCTGTTGGCTTTTTTTAAAACCATTAGGATTCTTGGAATCAGGATATCTGTTTGTGCTATCACTTTGGAAAACCAAAGAGTGATCTTTAGTTGCAGTTTCATGTGAGGAATGTTTAATAGCCTGCAGTTTTTCACCTTTTGTCATTGACAAGCTTGATTGACTCCTTGGGTTTAAGTTTTCCTGCTTGATACAAGCATTTTGTGTTGACTTCAGCACATGCCCAGCGTGCCTTGTTCGTAATGGCTGTTTTGGTGCTCTGGTTTTAATACCCATCTGTCAAAGCAGCAAGATTTCAACATATATTAAATAAGGAAATAAATTTGCATGAGTAACAAACAAAAACAACATGGAAGCAACAAGTAAAAATCCTCATGAGTACTAGGAATGCTTTGGAAGAGAATACAGCATCTAAATCTGAGTATTTTTAAATGACAGTATGAAAAACAACTTCATGTAGCATAACATTTAAAAGAATTAATAAACATTAATTCTGCTTTTCCTTGGCACTTCAGAAGCCTGGCTTCAATCATACAGCCACTTCTCACCATACAGCCAGTATTATTTCAGTCTTGATTTTTTTTTTTTCCTGTTCTGAACTACAGTTTTATCCTTTTCAAAGTCCTTGATGTACCCTTGTAATTACTTTCTACATGCTGAGACCTTTTTCTGCCTTCCTTCCTTCCCCAACCTTCTGCATTCCAGTTTACTCAGAGAGAGAGAGAGAGACAACCTGTATGACTAATCCCCTTAAGGTCTCTGGAAATTCTGATTTAGATGATTCTCTGTGCTGCTCTAACTTCTAGGCAAAGTAAACTAAAGCACTTTGCAAAGGCAGAAGTAGTAATAGAAGTTTTAATTCATCCTTTCCAACAGCTGTTATGAACCTAAGAAATATGTATTTATTTTGCATAAATATCACTGATTACAAGCATTTAGACAGTTCAAATGTGTTATCCAATTTCTGTCTTAACAAATTAACTAGTTAATTTGTGTGCTCTCACCACAAAAGTCATTTTCACTTACCTTTGTTGCAGGCCTTGATGTGTCTTTTGGGAAACAAATGCAAAGATACGAGAGATGTATTTAATCAAACTTCCTCCTAAAAAACAATCCTGAGAAATTTAATAAACTGTTACATTTATCTGATTTTTTCTAAGGCAGGGGGCAAAGTACTTTCCCATAACATCTGCCTCAATTACATTATTTTACTTGAGGTTTTTTTGGAATTCAGTACATACACTTCAAAAGTATGTTGGAAAAAAAATAGATACATTGCAGTAACTATTTCCAGCTTTATATAGAAATAATTGTGCAAATCTGATCCTCTCCCTCACACCATCCATTATTGTGTTCCTCACCTATTTTAAATACTCTTGTCTTTTAATGCAAATCACGTTCTATCAGTCAATATATAGTAATACTTAACTTTTTTTATCAATGGAGAGACAAGCTGTAAAGAGCCAAGACTATTTGCCTGCTGTTCACCAGCAGACTACTCAGAAATTCAGTATCAACTTAGACCAGTAATAAGCTGGTAGGTAAGAGGACATGTAAGTAACAAGGCACAAATATTCTTCCTAATTTGAAATATAGCTTTAAAGAGATATAGGATTTAAAAAAAATACCAGAATAAGCTAAAATTAGCCTAGGCTTTCCATCCAAAACTTCCATTTCAAGCTTCAGTCCATCTCTGCAAAATAAGAGGGAGAGAGAGATTGTGACATCTGAAATACTAAGTAATCTGATAATGTTAAGACTTTTACATTAATAACAAGGACCTCTGCACTTAATTATAACACTTTATTGTTGGCCAGATGGTCTTTCATACCTCATGCTTTCTACATTTGTGAGAAGCTAATTAATATGAAAGAATCAACAGGTCCTGAAGAGAGTATACTTTTGATACTGGAAAATTTGGACTTTGATGTTACAAAGTAGGTCTTCACACTGGCACTGCCACTTCATATCCTTACACAAAGCTTCCATCAAGAACTTAATAATCCAACAATACAAACTGTGCTACAAAAAAATGTCAGTCTCCCTGAATGCCAGAGCTGATCATAAAGAGGGGCTGTATTCTGGAAAGCCTTTACTTATGCTTCCATGCAAATCAGTCTGCATTTTGAAGTGGAACAAATATTAGTATAGGAATTTTAAAGGAAAGCTGGCACTGTTCAGGTGTACAACCGTAGTACTCAAACACCTGCGTTAAGAAAACCTAACAGGAAGATTAGTGTTCAAAACAACGCTTAACTTAAAATTGCTTTTCATTAAAGAAAAAACCAAAACACCCCAAAAACCTAAATCTAACTCCGGCAGGCAACTTTCCCCCGCGTGCCCGGGCCCGCACGGCGGCCGTTAACGCCCCAGGGCGGGCGGGCCC